AGAAGGTACTCAGCATCATAAATTATTAGGAAAATATAAATTAAAATTACAGTGAGCCATCAAAATAGCTAAAATTTAAATAACCGATAAATACCAAGCTGCCAAGGATATGGAGTAGCTGGACTTCTCACATACATCTGACGGAAGTCTAAATTTGTACAACCACTTTACAAAATCTAGGAATTCACTATCTACTAAAACTGAATATGTTCATACCCAACAATTCCACTTATAAAAATATAATCAATAAAATTGTATACATACATGCATGAAACACTTAAGATATGTATATATCTATGTGTATATAGATATATACAAATATACAATATTTATAGGCATATGTAGACATACACAAATAATATATAGATATATAAAAATACATATAACATCTGTATCTATACATCTATGTATATATTTCATGCATGTATGTATCTCGACAGCTAAATTTACAAATTGTGTTAAATTCTTACAATGAAATACAATACAATAATTAAAAAGATACAACTAATCCTACATCCAACAACATGAATAAATCTTCCAAATATAATACTGACCAGAAGCTAGACACAAAAGGATACATACTTTTCATTTTTTTTTTTGATTCTTTTAATATAAAATTCAAGAAGAGGCAAAACAAATATTTGGTGACAGAAATCAGAATAATGGTTACTTTAGGGAGATAATAACTAGGAAAGTGTCTGAAGGTGTAGAAATGTTCTATATCTTAATCTGAATGCTGTCTAAATAGGTGTTTTCACTTTGTAAAAAATTTATTGAACCGCACGATCAAGATTTGTGCACTTTACTATATATATGTTATATTTCAGTAAAATGTCTACATGGTATGAAAAATGGTTGGGACAAAAAACATTCCAATAAAGTAAACTCAGGCCATATGGCTTTACTGGTAAATTTTTTCAAACATTTATTTTATTTTATTTTATTTTATTTTTTTTGTGACCGGTAAGGGGATCGTAACCCTTGGTGTGGTGTCGTCCACACCACGCTCAGCCAGTGAGCGCACCGGCCATCCCTATACAGGATCCTCTCCCGAGTGAGCCACGGGGTTGGCCCTTTTTCAAACATTTAAATAAGAAATTATACCAATCTCACACAAACCATTACGGGAAAGCAGATATGTGGAACTCTACCAGCTGGCTTTATGAGATTATCATAAATTTGATATCAAAACCTCAGAAGAATATTATGAAAAAGAAAACTGTAGTCTAATCTCCTTGAAATATATTAGGAATGGGGTGATGAAAGTGTTCTAGGATTAGTTAGTGATGCTAGTTGCACAGTGTCTTAGTCTGTTTGAGGTGCTATCACAAAATACCATAAACTGGGTAGCTTATAAGCAACAGAAATTTATTGTTTATTTTTCACAGTTTTTGAGGTTGGGAAGTTCAAGATCAAGCCTCCAGCAGATACAGAGTCACCTCACATGGCAGAAGGGGCAAAAGAGCTCATGCAGGCCTCTTTTATAAGGACACCAGTCCCATCCAGGAGGGCAGAACCCTCATGACCTAATCATCTCCCAAAGGCCTCGTTTGCTAATACCATCACTTTGGAGGTGAGAATTTCAACATGTGAATTTTTGGGGGGAAGCGGGGACACAAACATTCAGACCATGTACACTACTTTGTGAATATACTAAAAACCACTAAATTGTATACTCTAGAAAGGTGACTTTTATGATACATAAGTTATATCTCACTAAGAACATCTAAAAATATATTAGAAAAGCATATTTAACAAGATTTTAAAATGATTAAATTTTACAATCAAGTTGATTTATTCCAAGAATGTAAAATTGAAATTCCAAATCAGTTTACCTTTCAAAAATTAATCAAAACAATTTATTACATTAACCAAATAAAAGAGAAACAGATATGATTACTTCAGTATAAGAGTATGCAGCCTAAGTGCTTAATAAACTTCAACACGATTCAATGACAAAAATTTTTAGTAATAAAGAATATAAGAAACTGAAAATGGATATCTACAAAAAGCCTACAGTAAACAGCAGATCAGTGGTGAAATGTTTTAATCTTTCATTTTGAGATGGAGAACAAGACAAGAATGGCTTCTATCCCAACCAATATTCAATGTTATACTCGTGATTCTAGCCATTGTGTTAAAGAAAAAAGAAGGAAGGAAGGAAGGAAGGAAAAAAGGAAGGGAGGGGAGGGAAGAAGAAAGATTACACATTATAATTATCTGGTGGTTTTGTACAGTGTCAACCAGACTAAATTGGAACTAAATTTTCCAAATTTACTTTCCCTGTATGGTTCTGGATCAGGGTTAGATCATGAGAAATTGTCATGCTATTTGAGAGGCAGAAGTTAAACAACAGCCATTCCACGCTGAAGGTCATCCTTGATTAGAATTGTCAAGGGACCGTGGAGAGGCAGAGGGATCCAAATATAGACCTTTTACTCAAAGCCTTGTGAAATACATTGCAGCGAGGAGTTTCAGCATCCTTGAAGAATGCCGCGGTGGCTAATTCAGTGCAGGCCAGTGTATTAGTCCGTTTATGCTGCTTATGACAAAATACCTGAAACTGGGTGATGTATAAAGAAAAGCATTTATTGCTTACAGTTTCTGAGGCTGGGAAGTCCAAAGTCCATCTGATGGTGGCGACAGTGACTCAGGGGTCTCACATTGCAAGATGGTGGAAGCAGAGAGAGCAGAGAGAGAAAGACAGACTTTCCTCTTCTTTTAAAGCCCTCAGAACCACAACCCTGATCACCATTATTAATCCAGTCACTACAGCACCATCCCACAATCTAATCACCTCTTCAAGGCTCCACCTTTCAATTACCATAATAGGATTTCCCACCCTCTTAACAGTCACAGTAGGAGCCAAGATTCTAATACATAAAACTTGGGGGACACAATTTAAGCTTCAGGGAGTTTTGAGGGGAGCATAACTCAATCCACTGCAGCCAGGAATGCAGTGAAAACTGCTGCCTGGAATGGCAGGACCTCAGGGTGGCAGAGTCTAAGTGGCAGCACACAATTGCCAGAAACAACGTGGGCTGTCATGTGAATAGCAGAGTTGAAACAGAGATCAGAATGATTTGACTGCAGAGATCTTTGCTCATGAAGTCTCTAGAACTGAAGTAGATGGATAGCTGACTAAAGTGTTATTTGATCTGTATAAACAGAAGAGATCTAGGTCTGGCAAACAAAAGTCTGACTTGAATCACTGCAAAAGAGATTTATGGTACATCAACCAATTCTCAGACCTGAACTAGTTTATAGAGCCAGAGCAGCTTGAATGAATGGGAGACTGGATCCTGTTGCTGAACTACCCTGCTACACAGCCAAAAATGTACACTGTAAGCCTTCACCTAACTTTCCTCAAGGGGACTTAAAGCCATTTACCAGGGTTTGGATATAGAAAAGTTTACAGAATTAGAGATGGAGAAAAAAATATAGGTACAGATCTAGGTGTATTATCTTTCAATAAAATGAGATCTTGCCATACATGTTCTGCCATCTGATTCTTTTTTTACATGAAATATACATCTTTATATGTCATCAAGTATTGATGCTATTTTTTCAGGCTTAATAACATTCCAGTGTTTGGATATACTTTTTCTAATCATGCATGATTATTTTATGTTTCTTACAAAATTCTTTTTTTTTTTTTTTTTTTTTTTTA